TAAACATTTTTTAAATACACTAATTTCTATGTTCAAGTTGATAATTTTTATGTTAATTCAAAATGGGCAAGTAAATTTAAAAAATGATTTTTATAATTTTTGTTTTTTGTTTTTTGCAAGGAATCCATCTTTAAATACTCGACAAAACAAACTGAAATTTAATCTAAATTATATTAACGCAAATGTTGTTGCTAAACTGACCAATCGGCTATATATTTTTTTGGGCACGTGCATAACGCATTCTGGTTACGTTAAATTTCGTTGTCAACGAAGTCTATTTACGAACCAGTCGAATGAAAATAATACTCAACGAAAATTCGTATTAAACAAAATGAACCAGTCGAATAAGCCCATTGTTAGAATATTCGGTAATGTAATGTTTCATAATAGGTCCATGGTTTCATCATCAGGTACTTGATCAGAATATTATAAGGACATAGTACAACAAATACACAGGGAAGAAATACATAATAAATCGCAACAACAAAGTGTAACCAATTCCAGGCCTAAATATGTGGTGCACAATAGTAAAATGAATAACGACAGGGACAAATCTAAATGGTAGAATTTCTTCACAATGAAAAATATAATTTTAGACATCAGCATTCTAATTCGAAGTGATTTAAAAGCTGATATAATGATAAATATAGATTTTGCGTGGCAGCCATTTTGATATCCAAGATGGCCGCCAAAATGAGCTAGAATGAAATACTGTAAGTATTGAATTCTGAGAGCCTGGGTATGATTCTGTTGTAAAACATGACAGTTACGTAATTTCTAGTATACCATACAAAATTTGACCTGAAATGACATTGAATTACATTAAATGACCAATTTGTGATAATCTTACCAGGTTAAAAATGGTATGATAGTATTTTTTGACCATATAAATATATTTTTAGACATTAGAATTATAACTTCCAAATGAGGCAGAGTAATTAACTGAATGAACATTCCTTTCTTTCTTTCTTTCTTTCTTTCTTTCTTTCTTTCTTTCTTTCTTTCTTTCTTTCTTTCTTTCTTTCTTTCTTTCTTTCTTTCTTTCTTTCTTTCCTTCTTTCTTTCCTGAATAAAGAAGCCCCATTCTCTTGTTTATTTAAAGTGTTGTAGGTTGGGGACAAAAATAAACCCCTGATACTATATTGGAAATGATTTATAGTCATAGTATAGTATAGGACTACTTGTTGCTCTCACAAACTGTCAAAGGGAGATTTTGAAGGGTTATGAATGATCGATAGTCTCAGCCTATTACGTAGGCCTATAGTATCGTGCCTTTTATCGTACCTGTATAGCATATGGCTATCAATACATACAGTGAAGCTGCTACGTTTCGCTTTCGCGAATATGAATGCCTAACATAGGCAATTTTGGAGAAATAAAAATGCATAAATAATTGGATAGGCCAGATGCGTAAATACATATTATACATAAACGCATACTTCTTACCTATTAGTATCGCTAAACTCTACGTCAGAAACCTTCGCCATGGTTCGACAAAGTGTAGTCCAGAACTATTGTTTTTTTCCTAGATGGCATATGTCCCCTCTCTTTATACCAGTGGCAATAAGTTTTATTATATCGTTATATCGTAATCGTAATGTTTGTGTAAGCAATACTGTTACACTAAGCTCTGCCCCTTGGACTTTTTGTTGCTAATATCTACAAAATGACAGCATACCGGTACACCCATACAGTATACGTACTCACGTACGCTTGTGTTATTGGCTCTGTTCTGATTGTTCAGTTAAAGCTTGATACTCCAGAAAAGTCAATTGTTATCATTATAACTCTAACTAATCAACTAAACAGCTTAATACGATTGTTCAATATGCAGGATATAATAAGGGTCCTTATTGGAAGTTACTGTTATAAATAATGTAGGCCTATATTTATTGTTAGAATAGTCTGGAAATGATATGCTTCATCATTACAGGAAACAAGTAAATCACAATAACAAAAATGTAAGATTCCATGGCACAAATAGTGGTACAC